AGACAGACAGACAGACCAGACAGGCAGGCAGGCAGGCAGGCAGGCAGGCAGGCAGGCAGGCAGGCAGGCAGGCAGGCAGGCAGGCAGGCAGGCAGGCAGGCAGGCAGGCAGGCAGGCAGGCAGGCAGGCAGGCAGGCAGGCAGGCACAGGCAGGCAGGCAGGCAGGCAGGCAGGCAGGCAGGCAGGCAGGCAGGCAGGCAGGCAGGCAGGCAGGCAGGCAGGCACAGAAACAGAAACAGAAACAGAAACAGAAACAGAAACAGAAACAGAAACAGAAACAGAAACAGAAACAGAAACAGAAACAGAAACAGAAACAGAAACAGAAACAGAAACAGAAACAGAAACAGAAACAGAAACAGAAACAGAAACAGAAACAGAAACAGAAACAGAAACAGAAACAGAAACAGAAACAGAAACAGAAACAGAAACAGAAACAGAAACAGAAACAGACACAGACACAGACACAGACACAGACACAGACACAGACACAGACACAGACACAGACACAGACACAGACACAGACACAGACACAGACACAGACACAGACACAGACAGACACACACAGAAACAGAACAAACAGAAACAGAAACAGAACAGACACAGATACAAACACAAAACACAAACACAAACACAAACACAAACACAAACACAAACACAAACACAAACACAAACACAAACACAAACACAAACACAAACACAAACACAAACACAAACACAAACACAAACACAAACACAAACACAAACACAAACACAAACACAAACACAAACACAAACACAAACACAAACACAAACACAAACACAAACACAAACACAAACACAAACACAAACACAAACACAAACACAAACACAAACACAAACACAAACACAAACACAAACACAAACACAAACACAAACACAAACACAAACACAAACACAAACACAAACACAAACACAAACACAAACACAAACACAAACACAAACACAAACACAAACAACACAAAACAACAACTTTGGCTCCAACAAACACAAAAGTGTACAGACCTGTTGTGGAAAGTCTTGATTGTTTTTTGCGGGGTGCACGTCCACGTTTGCTCGGGGAAGCGTGCTCGATCATTCCTTGCGAGCGTCCAGACCATGGTGCGGTCGGTAATGCCGACATCCTGCGCCAAGTTCCAAGCTTGTGCAACAGAAAAATAAACCCAGCTGCATGCCATATAGCTGTGGGAAAAAATAGGGACCCTAAATGAAGCCCTGGTAAATGGAATCAAGGACCAAAGCCTGCGGTCCCCTGGTGGCTTAATGTTGACCCATACCCATATTGAAAACTCCGTCGACCAGGCAGAAGGGCGACCTCCACCAAGCAGTTTCATCAAACAACAAACAAAGACACTATATAAACCAGTCTGCCCTGGGAACATGTTGTTGACTTTTCTAGCCTGCAGCCCTTGCTGCCTCAAAAGACCCGACAATGGTGGGCTTTTGAATCAACAAGACTGTACTGCCAGGGAAAACATTCAAAGGCCAGTCCCGGGGCAAGGTTCTCATCCTTCTAAGGCGGCTTCGCTGAATTGCAACCTTGAGGTCACAAACATAGGCCTCCTTTGGAGCCTTCTGAATGTGGACTGTTGCGCACATCTCAGTGGTTCAATGAATAGGCCATTTGTGGCTGTGACCCATCTGCGAAAGGCTACGTTGTGCTACACAGCCTCCAGTTCAGCATGTTCAATCCTCCAACCGCATAATATGGCTGTGGCTCAAAAACCTGTCCCTGGTAAGTGGAAACATGGACCAAAACCTGCGTAACCCCTCCTGTTTAATTTTGAGCCAAACCCATATGTCCTTGTACTTCTTCATCACCTCCATGATGACATCCTTGCCCTTGATCAAGTCATCAGCATTGCCTTACGCTCGCGCATTATGGGTATGCGTCCAAGCAGGGGGAGCACTAAAATAACCCGCTTTCCGGTTTGTTTCCCTTTGAAACCAACCAAAACAAGGGTCCCAAAAAAAAAACACGCACTCACACACACACACACCACACACACACACACACACACACACCCGGCACACTGCACACTTCACACTACACACTACACACTACACACACACACACTCGCGCGTGGACCTTCCACACTTGCTCATTCGAATTCCCGCTTCGAGTGCCGGCTCATAGGCAACTTCGAGGCCTCTTTGGCTCATTGATCCCGCTTTGAACGCTGATAGGGGATTGGTTCAACCCCCAGCAACCAAAAAACCAAGGGCAGCGTGAAGGGCCCTGAGCAAGCGAAGCGCTTGATTGGCGACTCCGGTGACTCGGCTTTTTGCAAGTAACTCCCAACTCGGAATGTGCAATGCGAGGTTGAAACCTGCGGTGTTTCTTTTGACTGATCGCCGAGTTGGAGTATAGCGCCACTCCAACACTCCAACTCCTGGTTCGATGAGCCCCAAATGAAATACCAGTGTCTCCAAGAGGACATGGGAAAATTGGGGGAGCGGGCTACTAACGCTGGGTGGCGCCCTGTTTTTAATTGGAAACTTGGGTGCCCCCATGTCCTCCCCAAGTAGCAGCAGTAGAATGATTGTCAGTCCAGGTCAGTTTCTTGCCAAGCTGCGGTACACCGGCGCGTATTTCTGCATGTTCACCTGCATGCTGATGCCATCTACTCTGGACGTTAGCTCAATTTCCATTACCTAAATGAATCAAGTCGGTTTGAGAGGACGTCCAAGTCTAGAGTACCTGGGCTCCATTGACGAGTCTATGGAACAAAATGCTCTTTTCTTTGGTCTAATGTCAATTGATGTCATCCTGACGAGGCATACAGCTGACGGACCCTCAGGATTGCACCAGTCTTGTCAGCTCATCCTTCGGCTCCTCAAGGCCACCTTCCTGGTGGTTTAAGGGGAACCTACCCCCGAAAGCACTTGAGCACGCCCCAAAAAGCTCGCTGGAAGGGATTTGGTTCCAGTTTCCCTGTCACCTGTCAGAGATCGGAATTTGGATTTGTCAACATAGCCCCACCCCCCAACAATGCTTGGCTCCCCGTTCCTTTCCCTTTGACATCAACCCCAAAAAGTTGACAGCCAGATGCTCCTTCCCCCCTGAACCCCCCCCGTTCTCCGGGTTGGCCCCTCTTCATCAGGCACCCTTCGCCTGCAACTCCCGGCGGAGGTCGGCCGTGGGGATGGCGCCCTTGGCATGGCGGATCTTGTCCATGCGCGCGATGGAGGCCTCTCCAGCCTGAGCTGCCAGCTTCGTTGGACCAAAAAAGCGCCAGAGGTTTTCGAGGGCAAGGAGACGGGGGCGGTCTCAGAGGTGAAGCATCATAGGTGTTCTTTTTGAAAGATAGATGGCTCTGGTAGATGATTGAACCACCAGGTAAACAGGGCATTCTATTTGTTTGTTTACCAAATCAACCAAAAAGAACACCAATGTCATGCATAGGAAAACCAAAGAGGCGCTTCGGTTTTCCAGGGAAGCGGCTTGCCCTGAAGGGCCAAAACCGGAGTACACTCCAGCGATGGAAGGGTGAGACCTTTTCTGAGTATTGCAGACTCACTCTCCAATCCCTCTCGCAGGGTTCCCCCAAATGGAATCAAACGAGTGATGGGGGGTTTGTACTCCTAAAAGTGAACCCCCCCAGGCCTGGCTGAAACGTCACCAGCAACCGGTAAAGTACTCCCGTGGAGGTCAGATCCCTGGCTTACCAACTCTCTTCTGATCTCCTCGATCCCCCCGCGTTCCAAATCGCTGTCTTCCGAGCCGCGTTCTTGGGCAGCACCACCGGAGGGCCTCGATGAGCGAAGGTCAAGGGGTGGGAGTCCCCTTGAAAGGGGATTGGCTTCGAGGACCTTGATTTTCGCAGGGGTTATTACTCAGGGTGATACATATATAATTCGCCAAAAAAGCTGAAAATATGCAAACAAAATTGGGTTGGTCGAATTTCCCCCGCCCCCCCCAAAAAAAAAAACTCAGAACCAACCTGCGCCAAAGTCCCCCCCCCCCCAAAAAAAAAAAAAAACCTGGGCCGAAGTCCCCCCCCCCAAAAGAAAACAAATGCGCGGAGAAAACCCCCCCCCCCCCCCCGAACCTTCCCCCCTCCCCCATGCCCAGCCCAGCCCAGCGGCTGTTGGGCTTCACCAGCTCTGCCGTGGTGTCCGCGGCCTGGCGCCCGAAGACCACGAGGTCCAGCAGCGAGTTGGCGCCCAGGCGGTTGGCGCCGTGCACGGAGGCGCAGCCCGCCTGTTCAGCGAACGGACCGAGTGGGGCAAAAGTGAGCCGCCTTGTCTTTCTAGAAATGGCGCACTCCCTTTAGCTTGGTGAAGGGAGGTTTCGGCCGGAAGCGCGCCTCGCCCGCAGCCAGCAGTCCAGGCACCACTGTGCTCTCGGCATCCTTAACCACCTGCACCACTGGGAATCTGTATTTCTCTCGCATTCTGAAGGCTGCCAGGAGAGAAAACTCTGATTGCAACATGTCTCTTCAGAATGCTTTCTGCTCTTGCCATCTTGCTGCCTTGCGGGCCCTAGTGCAACCATCCCACTGTGCTGTGGGGGGTTGCGAAAAAGATACTCGAAAACAAAACTGGCCTCGAACACCTGTGGCGGGCAGGGCGGGTGGAAAAATCCAAACATCTTGGCCTCGGGGTGTGTGCGTGTGTGCTCCGAAAACTAAAAAAAAGAACGGACGACTATGGGAAGTCAAGGAAAATAAAGCCAGAGGAGGTGCGCGGGGGTACTGCGGGGAGCACTACGAGCAGCACCGGGGAGCACCATGGAAACGGAGCACTACGGAGAGGACTACGCGCAGCATTACGACAAGCACAACAAGAAAGACTGCAGGAATCTTGGGCAGTTTGGAGGCCAGCTCTGATCACTTTGTTGTATTGTGTGGCTAGGATCAGGTCCGCCAATGTAACGCGTTGACACACTCTGATACACTCTGACACATACAAATCCACAACAATCCTCACATACAAATCCACAACAACCATCACATACAAATCCACCAAAACCCATCGGTCGCCTGCGTCTTCCAGTTGGTGGGGATGCCACCCATGTTGTAGTGTACTGTAGGCAGCACCGGGGCGGGCTCCTCAGGGTCAAGTTGGTCGATTCCCCAACCGAACCGAAGGCGTTTGCAACCCCAAAACAAAAAAATGGTCTTTGTGGTGTTGGGGGTTTGGGGTTTTGGGGTTTGGGGTTTGGGGTTTGGGGTTTGGGGGTCGAACTTGGACGTAGTGAACCTTAGAATGTAAACTCAGTTCAAAAGAGGTTCCAGAAAATGTGGGTAAAATGGAGGCCAACAAACAGAGCGCCCTCAGAATTCGGACCCCAGCAAAACACCTTATACTTTTTGCCTGGTTCGTGGAAAACACAGGGGGCCCCAAAAAAAAGCACCAGGTCCAAAAGGGGAGCTACTTCTGGACGAACCGGGCCAGCCTTCTGAAAGGAAGGCATATGTCCAAAAGGAGTCCGCGGCTCAACGCAAGACACGCAGCAACCGACTGGTAGGCCTTGACGGCTCCACTGCCAATAAGGTCCTCTTTGTGAGTCTTCTCATGGCTAAATCTAATTGACTTGTTGCTTGAAATCGGTTTCTCAATCAACAGCTACCTACTCAGGTGTTCTTCTGGGGTGTTCGAAATAGGGGGATCCCCAATCCTATATGATCCGCAATGCGTAGTGGGGCACCACTCCCAACAATGGGAACCAGTATTTGGCATATGTGTAAGGCTGGATTGTGAACAATCTAGTATAATCTAGTCTTGTATGGACCTGCTTCTTTGGGGGAACCATTTTGGGAGGTGATTTAAAGGGAAACTAACAGGAAAAATGCAATCCATGTTTGGGGTCCCTCCTTTCCGACACACACCCATATGGGCATGAATTTGAATTTGGGACCGACATCAGAAAGCGGATTCATGTCCACCAACCAATTTTCAGGTGGATACACCAAATGGGCGTTCTAAAATTAGGCACCCCTTCCAGCACCCAAGAGCACTGCTCTTGTACAAATGCCACCCTTGGAGGGTGCTGATTTTTTGGTCCTTGTGCTTTCCGGGAAACCGAAAAGGACCCCAACTCGCTGTTGGGTCCTGTCGGGGTCCTTTCATAAGTGGCCTTTTGGAAAAATACATGGCCCTGGTAAATGAAACAAAACCCATCTAAACCAGTGTCATCTTTTAGCCAAACTAACCTAAGGACACGTATGCTCGATTGCTTTCTGCTCCCCTGCTAAAAGCTTAAGTTTTAGTGGTTTAGTGGAAAACCCAAATTCGTTGGCAAAAAGTTAAAGTCCTAACAGCCCTTGGCAAAATGCACCAAAGCTATGGACGCCTTTCCGCTGAGGGCGGCGAGCCGCCCGCGCCTTGGTGACGTCCACGCCCGCGAAGATCTTCGCCGTCTCGGAGATGCCGGGCAGACGCTCCGCCAGCGTCTCAGGCGGCAGGTGGTCCAGGTGCAGGTAGATGTGGTCCTGAGCCACGTCGCTTTTTTCGGGTTTCCCTTTTGGGAGGTCTTGTCAAAGAGAACCAAAAAGGAGCCACACGAGTTTTGAAGTGGATTGAAAACTTTGATTTGCTCAAGTCGCTGGACAAACGGCAAAACATGTCCAGTGATAGATTCTCTTTGCAACCACCAGGGAGATATATACATATATCTATACATATAAATTAATATATACACTATCTGAAGCGAAAGGAAGAAAAAGTGGTACCTGGATGGCCAGTTGCTGTTTATTACCATCAACTGCGACTGGTTTTAGGGAAAAGTGTCTCGATAAAATGCAACAACTTGGCTATCTAGGTGGTTGTTCAAAGGGAAACCCAAGGACCCCCCCCGCCCCCATTTTTGGGGTAGCCCCCATGAGTTCGAACTTACGTTTGAGAAAACTTTTCACCAGCCCCTTTCAGAAGAGATGCAATTTTGAATGCTTTGGATTAGTGTCAACTGTCGTTTTTCGAAATCGAAGGGTCGCGAGTTTCAACGCGTAATACAAGGACTTAAAGAATCAGAACAGGGTTGGAACCCAAGTACATCACCACATTGAGTCTGGTTTCAATCGGAGAATCATAGAATAAGCTGAGGTGATATCCCCAACAGCGTGCGGTGCTCTTTTTCGTCTTCACACCACCCCACAGCCCGTGGAACCCTGGTGCAACCCTGGTGGAACCTTTCCTCAGGGCCGCCCCGGACCACCCCGGAGCCCTTCTGGGCTGAGACCCCAAAGCTTTCAGCTGTTGGGGAATAAAAGAACAGCCTACAAACATTGATTTCTTCATTTTTGGAGGGGCGTCCACTAAAAGAAACACAAACACAAACACACAGAAACACACACACACACACACACACACACCCGCAGAGACACACACACTCACACAAACACACTCATGTGGGTCATGCACGTGTCCTTGTTGGGCCCCACGCCACGGCCCTCGCGGATCTCCAGCGTCATGGCGCGGCTCACCACGTCCCGGGAGGCCAAGTCCTCAAGCCGAAAACCCCCCCCAAAAAAAAACAAAAACGGGGGGCGTTTTTCGGGTTGCAGTGGGTCAACAATACCCAACAAATTGGTCTGGCAAATGGACACATGGCGTTTTTCAGGTGGCTGTGGGTCAACCATACCCAAACTCGGCCTGGCAAGTGGATGGACTCAAATCTGCGTGGGTTTCGTTGGCCTAAGCGCTTTGACGGACAACCCATCGTCCGCTCCACCTTTCACCATGAGTCATTCGGTCCATGGGCTCTCGAGTGATTCGGAGCATGTTCAAATGGCTGTGGTTGTCAACCATACCCAAAATGAATTCCCCTGGAAAATGGACACATGGACTGAAATCTGCGTTTCCTGGTGGTTTAATTTTGGCCCGTACCCAGGTGGGGTTGTCAACCAACGTCAGGTATACGTAGCTTAGAACTGATACAACATACAAGTAATTATGGGTATATAACTTGGGAAACTATTACACGAGCACAAGTAACCATGGTTGTAGCTGGGAAAAGGAGGTTAGTCCTCGTATGACCATGGTTATAAGTCATAAGCTACTAAGTTGGTTGAACACAAGCAACCGTCCACACACACCAAGCTTGTGCTTTTAATATTTTTCCCTTTCACTCGCTTTGTCTATGACTTGACCACCCTGCCAATCAGCGACGAGCAACGGGAATCAAGGGTTGGCTCACTCACTCCATTCGTTCCACCATCAACCCTCGATTTGGTCTTTGACGTTCATGCCTTTCATCTCGCTGGTGCTCAGTAGGGGAATGAACTCAAAGATTCCCTTAAAGGAAACCACAAAACATGGTTTATAGGGTCATTCCATTCCCTACTGAGCAAGTCTTTCTCTTACGGCGCCTTTGCCGTGGGCGCGTAGCGCGCCATGAAGGGCTCGCCCTCGGAGTTGCGGAGGATGCCGCCCTCACCACGGCAGCCCTCGGTCAGCAAGCAGCCCGCCGGGAAGATTCCTGCGGGGCAGACACTAGCCCCATGGTTTACACCTCATTCCATCGGTTTCTTTCAAAGAAGCCTTACCTATGGTTCAGGAAACAGTGGCACCCAATTCCTGCGTGCACTCGGATCCCATGGATCCTTTCCCTCTGGCCTTCTTGCGCACTCGCCATGCAATGGCTGAGGCCAAAGAAAACCACACGCATCCGGCTCCCTAAGCTGCTCCGAGTCAGGTGCTTGTCGCCTCTGCCATGGAGACCTACTGACAAGTATATGCCCAATCCTCGAAAGAATGTCCCCCTTGTGTCACCACATCAAGCTGGTGGCTTCTATTCGCAAGTCACATGCTTGCCATGCGTGGCGCGAGTGACTAGATATATGAGTAAGTTGAAGCGCCTGTGGGGTGGAACTGCACGAACTCCAGATCCTGCATCGGCAGCCCAGCGCGGGAGGCCATGGCGCTGCCGTCGCCTGGCCGGCGACAAAGAAGCGGTTGATGCTTCCCATCGAGAGAAAAAACAAAAAACAAAACCTTCTTATCGGAGGGCCCACATTTCTCGGCTGCTTTCTGCTCCCCTGCAGAAAGAAGAACTTTTAGTGGTTTAATGGTAAACCCATGAGTTGGCAAAAAGTTAAAGTCCCAACATCCAAGCAAAATGCACCAAAGACTTCACCTGGCGCCGCGATCCAAAACGGAGCCTCGGCCTGCCTTCCTGAGGTTGGGCCACCCCCTTGACCTCTCATTTGAAGCGCGCCTGTGCACGTGTGTGCGGAGGTACAGGACTGGTAGGCGCGTCCGAAGCCGCCCGTGGCAACAATGGTGGAGTGGGCACCGAAGCGGTGAATGGATCCATCCTCCATGCACCTCTGGTAGCATTGCGCCCCAAACTCTGTGCGGAAGGGGTGTTTGAAGTGGGCAACCTCGCCCAGTGCTCTCGGTACTGCTGGCCAGAGAAAAGGACTTCTCTGCCGGCTTCCTTTTGGCCTCTTTGTTTCTCCAGCTTTCAAAAATTCGGCCATGTGGGCTCCCCCTAAGGCAGTCACCTCTTCATGTCCAGGCCTTTTCCGGGGGATTTGGGCCGGTACCAGCGGCTTTGGACATGGAAGCCTCACCCCTGATGGCATATGCGCGTATGCAAGCAATGCTAGAGTCAAAAGTTGTTCTTGCAGACACGCATGCCTCCTCGTCTGGCATGCCGGGGCGCATCGCGACGCAGCCCAAGCATTTGCCGTCATCGCCTTCAGGCGGATTGTTGCCGAATGAGGGGAGTGACTGTCTGTGTGCGTGTGCTCTGAAACACATTGAACATTAGCCATTCTTTGCTGGTGTGCGAAGCCTCCAAGGGGAGTAAGTGTCGAGAAAAAGTCATCATCAGCTTAAGCAACTCTTTTGCAGCCACAGGTGCTCATGATAAGATCCATGGCGAAGTACTCTACGAAGAAGAGGCAGTCGAACTTCAACGCCATGCCTCGGATCTCAGCCACAGCCGACTCAGGCATTCTCCCATGGATTGAATCCGCTTTTGGAGGCCTTGGACAACTCTTGCGCCCAAAGGCCTGCAATGATCCATGTGATGTTGGTTCTGGAAGAAAAAAGCCAACTACCCTCACCAATCTGTGTAAACAGGACAACTATGTCCTATTGCTCAAGTAGGTCGGGTCAAAACAGATATGATGCCCTCAATGGCACGATTGGACATGTGCGCTTGGCCAATTCTTGAGCTGGTGACTCTGCCCGACTTGTAAAGAGTTGGGGATCAACTGTGTGGCTGCAGTTGCACTGAATTCAGTGCCAAGCTGGGCCAAATCCGTTAAGCCAGACATGTTTCCACCTGAGGTGAGAGTGCTAGAGAAGCATGCACGGCAAACTGTTCTTGCTTGGCATAATGCTACGTGTGACACTGAAACAATCTTAGCGAGAGGACGGTCACAAACAGCGAACGAGCTTCCGTCACACGCGCACCGCAGCGGTGCGAGGACTGTCACAGACAAGATGCACGACCACAACACAAACACTGGGCCAAGCGCTGAACTAATTACGCCAAGCGCCCAATTTGGAAATACTGCCTTATGCAGGGACACACAAGCAGCAGGCATAGACTTCCCAACTAGTACCTGGCTTGAATCTTGAGCACGGTGCAGAACCATCGCACGCCCACACCCCAAATACTGCCCAGGATGGCCGCGCCCAGATGCCATAGAGGGTGTGCAGGATGGCATGGCCTGTTCGGTCCGCCGCTGCGGCGCAGCGGTAGGCCTGGCCACCTGGCCGAGACTTGGTGGGCGCTAGGAGCTTCACCCAGACATGGGAGGAGCGTCAGAGATTCGCCGATTTTGGGGGATTTCCCCAAAAGAAATCCACCCCCTTGTCGCTCTTCTTAAAGGAAAACCAAAGGAACGCCCACCATTTTTAGGGGTGCCGGATTTTGAGAAACAACCAGTTGTGTTTTTGCTTTTCTTCTTTTGTCTCGCGCCTGTTTTCACCAAGGGAGATGCCAAGGCAAGGGGAAGCAATGGCGGAAACACATGCGCAGGTACACATGCTCGTGTCTGACCAATTTATCCGTCACAGCAAATTGGCTTTCTCGCAACTGGGCTGTGCTCAGATCCCCCGCAAGTTAAACTTTTAGTGGGCTAAATGCAAAACCCCACTAGACACTAACCAGCTAAAAGGCTAAGGCCAGCACCCTCCAAGGGTGGCTTTTCCCATTGAACCCAAAATGGTTCACACAAGAGCACTGGTACAAATGGAAAAGCCACGACATGGATTGCACTCCTCTCGCAATCCTCTCAGCTCTCAGCGACTTTCGGCCTTTGCCGAACTTCAGGCTCTGCCCTCCGAAGGCGCGCTGATAGATCTTGCCCTCCGGGGTGCGGGAGAAGGGGAGACCAAAGGACTCCAGCTCCAGGATCACCTCTCGAGCGGGAACCGCCAAACAGCCAACCCTCTTCGCGACCGATTTCCGGCGGATTTCCATGAACAACTAATTACACACATGCTTTGTTTTTTGGGGCCGGGGGGGGGGCTATTTTTGGTAGTTGACTTTAACCAGAACCACCTCCGAAAAGGAACGCAGGGCACCGCAAGAAAGCGCACCTCGGCCGAGAGCAAAGGCTCTGGGCGGCCCAACTGACGGAGACAATTGCTGAAAACGGCGTTGAATCGATCGGCGGAACTCAGAGCCTCCCCGCCTCCGGGGCCAAGCGGCACATGTGCTGGATGGCATCCTGGTCCCCCAGCCAATCCGCACCCTTCACGGTGTCGTAGGCGTGCCACTGCCACTGGTCCTGGCAAGCGGCACAGCGGGAGCGGAGCGCCAAAGCGAACTGATGGCGCGGTGCACCAAGACGGGAGACCGGCAAGCCCAGCCAGCGGCTGCCAACCTGAAAACCAGGAAGAGCAAGGAGTGGCCGGAGCGGAACACGATCGCGTGCCGCTGCGGCCAGGCAGAGGAGACTTCAGAATACGCGTGGCATTTTGGGAAAACTAAAAACGAGCGAACAAGCCCCGAAGCTCACCCACACTAAAGTATCAGTGCTTTGCTCAACTGGAGCACCATTTGCGACAGTACATGCCTCGCAATGCGACAAGACGCCAGGCAAAGGGACACTGAACACCTACTGCCTAAGCGGTGCCTGAGCCCATCACAAGATGTTCTGCCGCAATCAACACATGCACGTGGTTTAAGCACGATGGCACGGGACACTTTTTGGGGGTTTAGTGGAAAAACACATTTATTTTCCAAAAACTTAAAGTCTAAAGCTCCAACCCACTAGCAATCAAGGACCATAATTGTTTTTCAGGGGCACGTCCTCCGTCATGTTGGCCAGCGCTCCGTTGATGCCGCCTGGCTTCGGTCATGGGTAGGCACAAAGGCAACAAAAACGGCCGGCAGAAGCTGGCCTCACGGAGTCTCAAATCCTCACGAAATGGCCATGCCTTCTGTCGCAAAACTGAAATCCTCGATCCTTTAACCTCTTGCGGAAGGACAGACAGCCTGCATAGGGGGTTGTGGATCAAACTTAAACCACCAGGAAATGGACCACAGGTTTTGGTCCTAGTTTTGACCCACAGCCATCTCATGCTGAGCAAATTCCAAACAAAAAGTGGGGGCGGCTTCATGGGCTCCCATGCCGACTCCGCTCCTTCAAACAAGTTGAAGTACCCTGGACACAGTCGCCTCCATGTTCACAAAAGCAGCATGAACAAAGTGCTGGTACCGGTCCCACCGGTCCTACTCAAACATTCAACAGCCAGGTTGGAACCCTTCTTGTTTTGCCATGTGGTTTGCTCCAGCCGACATGGTCAAATGCTGTCGGGCAAATTTGTGCCTTGCGCTGCCACGGTGTGGGAGCGCGTGGGGAACACCTGCGAGAAGGCTGGGAAGCAGAAAGAACCCCGGAAAGCAACTTCCTAGTTGCTTGTTGAGATGCAAGCAAAGCCAATACCTCCCAACAAAAGGGGCTGGAGTCTGCAAACAACGGCCCAAGTGCTTCCTTGCGTGTAATGTGTTTGTTGCATTTTCGGAGAGCACACCAAGAGCAGGTTGCTGAAACAGTCTAAGCAAGTAACCTTTATGGTGACGTCACACCCCCCCACCACGCCGAAAAGTGACGTTGTGATGACCGCGGTTAAACATCTTTGAACCGGTGGTTGCCAGCCAACCTTAGACACAAATCCTTTGGCTCTACCCAGAAACGGGCGCTCCGTCCCATCGACGTCTGAACGATCCCAGGCGGCGTCGACCATAGGTGTAATTAGGGGAAACAGATGGGTTTCGCTGGTAGATTATTAACCCACCAGGATTTACCAGGGACAAAAACAACCAAAAAGGACACAAAAGGACACCTAAAGGAAAGAGAAAACAACCAAAAAAACACAACAACATATTTTTCGGGCAAAACCACCAAAAAGGACACCGATCGGCGTCGACCGTCTCAGCGCCTTGGAGATGCAAGCGGTCTTCAGGCCATGGCCCACGAGCCCGGCGGCCGCGCGCAGGCCTGCCACACGGAGTTCCGAGTCCGAGTGCTCGTCGCTGCTTGGCCGGCGGAAGGAAAACCAACGGAAACGTGAAGGAAAACCCGAAGGTCGGCAAGCAGGCCAGAAAACTGCAAAAAGGTTTGGCTCGTCAAGTCGTTGTCTCGTTTGGAAGGAATCCCTATAGGCATATTCATGGTTCTCTTGCTTTCCCATGAAACAAGCAATCCAGAAGGGGGTTCTTGAGAGACCCAATTTGCCTGTGCCCGACTGGCAGTTTCATGTTTGTTCTGTGCAGCATGTTGAGCTAGTTGGCTACTATGGCATCCAGCTCTGATACTTGCGCGACAGTCCACTCCTGCGCCACCCGCACCAATGACCACCGCATCGTAGGAGTGATCAAAGACCTCGTAGCCACCAATCCTGAGGAGGACGTGCACACACACAAGCCCAGACACAAGAAGCTCGGAGCGGCTGCAAACAAGGGTCGCCTCTCACACAGCGGCAGCCTCCCAATCTCGAGCAAGTAAGCTAAGGGAGAAATGCGTTCCTTGCCCGTGGGCAAAACTACAGAGCGTGAGGCTGTTTCACGCTTGTCACCCCTTCTCACATTTGACTAAACTTCACCGTAACCGTATTGAACAGCAATGATCAGTACCTCGCCTTGAAGGCTTTTGACTCAAATGCGAACACGGAGTCATCAGCTCAGTTGCGACAAATAGGATGATGCTGGGAAATTCAGCATAAACCTGACTCCCCTTGAATGCGGTGGGGAGTGTATTCAACAGGTTCGCACTTGTTGCAGGGATGGCCAAAACTTGTTGCAACAACCAGACACTTGTCCCCTTTTCCTGGGAAACCAAAGAAGGTTGTTTAAACAGTTTAAACAATGAAGGTTTTGCAATGTCTATGGATGGATGGATGGATGGATGGATGGATGGATGGATGGATGGATGGATGGATGGATGGATGGATGGATGGATGGATGGATGGATGGATTCCAATGGATGGACGGACGGACGGACGGACGCATTTCCCATGTCTGACCCAAGCGGATGGGCGAGGCGCGTGGTGCTGGTGACGCTCCGCGCGCTCGCCCTGGGCGCCCTGAGGGACGCCAGGCGGGGCCCCGCGGTGCGGAGGCGGGAGAGCATGGCCTTGGCGGGGCTTCCAATTCCAAAAGGAACGCCCGGCTCGGCGGATCGGTCCCTCGTCATGACCCATGCCCCAAAAAAATCCAGGGGTAGCTTCCAAGTCCATTCTGATCAAGGGATCCGAATCTTCCTAGAAAACCACCGAAAACTCTGGGGAAATGGCGGGTTCTTGAAAGGAACAATGACTGAAAAGAATGGGGAATCAACCTCTAGAACCAAGGAAAGCTTAGCTTGACATGGCCAAAATAGATTAGGCGAAAAGGGACATGGCAGGACACCTTTCAACATCACACAAAGACACCTGAAGACAAAACGACGGAGGTGTTTCCTTTGAAACAATGGCGAGGTGCTTCGTTTCTCCTCGTCAGCATTGCCAGCGCATCGCTTGTTTCCCATGCTTCACCCAGCGCACCCGTCAGGAACCTTTTGGTTGAGACCCCTGGGACAAATATAAACATTTCCAGTAGTCATAGATTCCCTTTAAAACCAACAGAAAAAAACACAGATCTTCAGCAAATGGAGGTCTAAATCTAGCGATGCCCATGCTTGTCCCTGCGAAGCCCATGAGAACAAGGCATGGCTTCCAAGTTTGGAAGCTGGGCTGACGACAACTCGTCCAATGCGCCCGGAAAAACGCACAGAATCGCACCCACAGGCAATGCCCTCTCTGCGAAATGGATTTAAGTCTGCTCCACTTGGCATTTTACTTGGGACCTTTTGGTGACCTCAGAAAGAACTGGAGATTTGCCTCGTTTCCGCATCACGTTTGCAGTGGATGCTCCAGATGCCAGATGCCACAATCTTCGTGTTCCCCCCCTTCTGCTTGTTGAGCAAATCAAAGGGGACCCCGCGTCGGCGTCCAAAACTCCATCGCCATGCTCCAGGGGCCCGGCAACCTTGCGGTACGTTGGGCGCCGTCTCGAGCCGCGAGGTCTCGGCACGCCTCTCTCTCCAAAAGCGAGCCGCGAGCCCGGGCCTGAGAAAGGCGGCGCGTAAAGATCCCTACCATAAGGGGGAGGGGTGGGGGGGGGTTCTCTAGTCTTCCCCATAAAGGGGAAAATGGAACCAATGGGATTCCAGGGGTCACCCCCTCCCCCAATTCCATTTTTTGGGTGGGGATGGCAAAGGGATTCAAACAAAACACGGCGAAGTTCAATGCGCACGCCTTGAGCATTGGGGCAACCGGCTCCAAAACGGTCAGCGGGTTCTAATTGCCTGGGGTTTGCAATATCTCACTGATCTCTGGTGTTACTCAGCAACATGCCTTGCGAGGTGCTCTCCAAACAAGCCGATCCTGCGCCAGTCCTAACCGCCGACCCCTCTGCTTCTTATCTTTACTCGACTTCCAGAAGGGAGCGGCGCGGTATGCAACTTGGCGGTCTCTGTCTTTGCTTCTGCCGAAGGACGTGCTCCGCGCAAAAAAAACGGAATCCTGTGGGGCCAGGATATTGCACGGTCTGAGGACTGGCCCAGGACCACCATCACCGGCCCACAACCCAGGCAGGACCAAGCCAGGACTGGCAAGGATTGGCCTGACGCGGAGCGGCCCAGGACCGGCAGTGGACCGGCCTTCTGTTGCGATGCTGCGGCCGCAAACACACGTCGACGTCACCACGATGCCTTTGGGCCCTTCCTTCAGATTGAGCAGACGCCTGTGCAGTCCTTGAACTGCACGTGTGGCAAAATATTTGAGACAAGCGTATGACTACTGCTCGGATCAGCCCTGTTCATCACGCATATCCTCTGTGGGTGTGGCACGTCTCAGCTTTCGGCAAAACTGCGAATGGCTCATTGAAGCAGTTCTGCTTCATTTGATGGTCACCGATCACTGCCACATGGATAGCTGTGGTCATTCTACAGCTGACACACGCGCCCAATGCGACTTTGCAGGAGGGCTGTTTAATTGATACAGAACCAACGCAGGCTCTCGTGGACAATGTGATGACGCCTAGCAGCCTAGCGCATCGCGTGGCTCCGCCGCTGATGCATCATTCAAGTTTCTGACCTGTCAACTTCTTGACCTTGCAATGGAAGGGATCTGGAGAGTAGATTTACAGGAAGCCTGAAGCGTCCAAAAAAGGCGGTCCTGACACAAAGAGGCAGCGACAAGAAACAACCATGTCTTTCCATTGGACTGACGGGAAATACAACCTCCTTGTGACTGGAGGGTAAATATCAGGCCAGCAGTCGCGGTAGCTGCAGCTCAAATAGCGCATATTGAGGTCGCTGGGGTTGAAAAGCTCGTAGTTGGATTTCTTTGTGACCAGTCCACCCTCTGCGTGTGCATCTGACTCCGTGTCAGCAGCTCTTCGAAATGCGGTTGGCAAAGTGTATGATTTGTATGAAGCACTGAAATTAAACATACCCTTAGATCAGGATACTGTACAGCTGGAATCGTTGATCGTGGCTGACCCACCTTTTTGCTACATGTCCATCATTCTGCCAAATGCAGCTGGTTGCTGCGCATGCGAACCGGCGTGGTGTTTACCCATTTTTGGTAGTGCTGAATAATTAGGATTCATCCATGCCTTTTGAAAAGGGTGTTGACTTTGCTTGGGTTCTTCCACGCCAACCTGAACTCTCTATGGTGAACCCTGCCCCCTTGGGCATGTTTATGCCCAGAAGCGAGGTGAAACTAAGTCAGCAATGCAAACTGGCCCATGTCGACTCGCTGAGCAGTTTCCCATTGCCGACTGCAAGCTGAAGCTGGCCGATCCCCTTCAGAGGATGGCCTCGCGCGATTTCGCAACCAGCATGGTCACTGACAAATGCGAAGGGTTGTTGAGGCGAATACATCGATGAATCTGGGTCTTGGAATAGCAAAACAATAAGTTACGTATATGTTCCAAGGGTAGGGAGCACCCAGATCCCCACACCCCGCTGCTAGGGTCCCCAGACCCCCTCCTCGAGCCCCTGAACTCGCACCCTTGCATCCCGACACGTAGGACAGCTCAACCCACAACCAACCCCAACGAACCCCAAACTAACCCTAAATCAGCCTTAAACCAACCCTAAGCCAACCCAAACCAACCCAACACCCCCTAAACCCACTGTAAACCAACCCTTAACCAACCCTAAACTAACCCTATACCCACCCTCAACCAACCTGAAACCAAACCTAAATCAGCCCTAAGCCAACCCTAAACCCACCCTAAACCAACCCTAAACCAACCCCAAGCCAACCCTAAACCAACCCTTTACCCACCCTAAACCAACCCTAAACAAATCCAAACGACACCCCAGGGGGGGGGTTCACGGCCTGGAACATATATGCCATGGCCCAAACAATTGCTATGTAGGTCACGGTCGTGGTTCGGCTCCATGTAAGTTGTGATGATAATTCACCACGAAACGACCGCTTCAGACTGCCATCGGTCGAGTCTTTCTGTATCCCTGGCCTTCAGCTTTGCGATGCCTGCACTGGGCCGATGGATTTCATCAGCTTCCCCTGAGTGATTTCTGGTGGTTTGGTTTCGTGCTTGGTGCTAGTTGGGTTCCCATTTCCCGCCTACAAAAACAGTAAGGATAACCTGACTTCAGTTGGGGGGGCCCTTCAGCCCCAAAAAGCAACGGACTGACGGAAGGTCTCAGCCTTGGTATCCGCAAATTAACTCCTCTAACCTTTGCAGCCTAGCCCAAGCCGAAAACTTTCCGACAAACCCGAGAACAACTTCGAATTGAAGGCCCCCCTGGGAAAAATGAACATATGTCCAGTAGTTATAATTCCCGTTACAACAAACCGACAATGGAAAGTAAAACATATTCTTAAGCAAATGGACATTTTTGGGAGTCTTTGAAAATCAAGGAATCCGGCAGGTCTCTCGCAAAATTGAGGGAAAAGTGGAACCCGAAGATTCCCGGAAGCCTGGAAGACTCCGGTGGATGCGAGGGTACCCACCAAAGACAATCAAATCTGGACAGTTTGCGTCTTGCAAGACCAGCCACGCCACTACACGTTCGATCAACATACAAGCAACGCACACATCCAGTACCCTCTAAGACGTGCGCGAAGCAACCTCAGCTGATAAGTCTGCTATGCACCGCAACAATCCAGTGATGCATCTTGCAAAGAACAAATGACAGGAAGCATCTGGACCGAACAGTCTCATGCAGCCCTGAGTGAGCACTTGCACTTGCATGCGCAGGTCAAACACATTTGGATCGAGCAAGTGCATGCAAACAAGCAAACTACGACGAGTACTCTAGGCTGGGAATGGGTGAGGTGCTGGGTTGACGGCTTGCCCAACCTGAAGCTGCTGATTGAACTCCTTTTAGAGTACCTGATTGGACAAATGTATGCCCCCCCCCCCCCCCCAGAGAAGGATGTCTGAGGCGCATGGATATCTGCACCTATTCATGGCGGGGACTGTCCCTGAAGATTCCCGCCCATAGCTCACATGAGGTGGTTGAGTAATCTTCGAACATGCGCCAGGGCGTAAAAAAAGGGATCATCTCAAGGAATGCGTAAGAGCTTGCGAGGGGATCTTTTGAGCAAGTGCCCGGGAGATTTGGAGCACGTCTCAACTTCAAGATAGGTTTCCCACCAAGAAAGACTGCAAGCCCTGAATTCATCTCGTCCCGAATCATCCCATGTCCTTCTGGGTGATAAATTGTTCATTCATTTCCCTGAGGCTTACTTCAGCCACCCCTTTCTCTTTTTCCCCTTCGACCGCAAACACCGAACAACCCAGCCATGCGGAAAAAGGTGCGAACCCTTTTGGTAGCTGACTTGAACACCTCCCAAAATCAGCTAGCCCTTTTGGCCTTTGGTTCCATGTTAATTGGTGGGAGGGAAATTCGTTGATTTACTTCCATTTGGTTAAGACCCCTGAAAAAAATCAGAGTATTTCCAGTAGTGATAGATTGCCTTTAAAGCCAACAGGGGGAAAAAACAACATTTTTAAGCAAATGGAAGTTTAAACAAGGAACCGCGTCTCGGAATCCAAAGGGTCCCGTCCACTCCGCCTCGGCAGTGAGTGACTGCACCAAGCTTTGCTGGCTCTCCGGAACCACCAGCAGCTGGCACCTCGCGAGTCGAATGCAGCAGCATCGGCAGAAGGGCTTCTGCCGGGCGCTGTGGGGCGTGCTTCCAAAAGGGGGGACCAACACGAAACCGACCACTTGGATCGTGAAGTTCAGGTGGCGAAATGTGGCGAGGTGTTACTGCTTTTTAACAGGTCCATCAAACAGATCTCCAAAGTCGTTAATGCAACGACCTACAGTGAGCATAGAGCAAATGGGAAGTTAGCTTTCGTGCCCGAACTTTGTGGCTGAACTTCGGTGAGTCGCCTGTGTCCCAAAGCACACATTGAGCAACAACCACTGGATATTATGACCAACCACCACGTTTAAAAGAGTGCCTTCGAGGGTCATCACTGTTTGACCATTTGCGCCCCATTTGAGGTGTCCAACATCCACTCCAACTTCTCGCGGGAGAATCCAGCCTCACCAGCTTTGCCAGTTCTTGCCGCGGCCTCTCCCGGCTGCAGAGCGCCTGGCGCTTTGGGGCGGATACGCTTCCAACGTTCAGAGAGCATTTGTGGGACTCAGATGCCCGGTGGATTCCATGTGAGAGAAGAGGGGCATCCTTGTTTGGTTGAGTTTAAAGGGACCGCCTTACCCAAAAACGGGAACAAGGGCGGCACGGGGCAACTCGAGGCACCCGAAAAATGAGTGTTTCCTCTTAAAGCTACCCCCAAATGTGTATTCAACCGGGTTTTCCCGTCAAACCCCCGATTGGAGCGTCGCTTGGAGAGCTCAGGCCGGCTTGGGGATTCTCCATAGGCCTCACCCAAAAGGAGGGGCCCGAGACCTGCGATCCAGGCGTCGGCGGCCCTTCTATTTCAACAGTCCCCAGGATCTGAAAATATGTGCGTTCTTTGAGAGTAATGTTAACCCCGGATTAATAAACCCCTGGTTGATTTTGATCCGGGGG